ATCCACGCTGGGGTTGATAATAGGGGCCTTTGTCGTCTGTTGGTTGCCGTTTTTTGTCAAGGAATTGATTGTCAACACCTGCGGTTCTTGCAGTACTTCAGGGGAAATGGCTGACTTCCTGACATGGTTGGGCTACCTTAATTCTCTGATCAACCCTCTGATCTACACCATCTTCAATGAAGACTTCAAAAAAGCCTTCCAAAAACTTGTGAGGTGCAGTCATTACCTCTGATGATTATTTATGCATGATCAAACCTGTACACCATCTATATATGAGAGGAAACAAAATTAATGGCTTCAGGTCAAAAATACTGACTGAATAACTGAGTTATTATGTCTGAAAAAGAATAATTTAAAAGAGCAAAAGGATTGATACTGGAAAAGAAACTTCATCAGCCACTTCAGCAGCCTAAATGGCACCGACTCAGCAATGAGATGGTGCGAGTTCCCAATTGAAAATCAAGTCCTGCTATTTATAGAAGAGCCTGAGACCTCATTGATGTTAATTGGAGTATGTAAAGGGACACTGAGAAAATGTGCCATCACTGACCTTTTTTGAGGCCTGAGTTCTGAGCATTAGTGATCAGCCCCATTTATAGGTCTTGAAATAGCTGACCATTATGTCTGTTTCATCTAATGACCTCCCTTCTGCCGAGTCCACGCTGCTGGCTTAAATATTGGACATGTGTAAAATACCACAGTATACCAAGTTGTTGCTTTTTGTGGCTGTGATGTTATGAAAGGTGACTTGTTTTCTGACTGTTGCAATGATTGTTAGCAGAACTAGTATATATTTAGCCCTGCAAAACATTCCAAAAATATTAAACCTCCATTGATTGATGGTTTGACCTTCTTGTAAGTTAATGGTACAGGTACTGGCTTCATTTACTTGACAGTCTAAAAAGACATGGGAAGATATGGTCTAACTTTCATAAGATGTCAATGCCTGAACTTAACAAATAATATTTTAAATGTTTACAATTAACAGCGTAAAATGTAATTAATATAAAGAAAAAAATTTTAACATCTAGGGCTAAGTCATACCATAAATAACAACAAAATACTGGGGTACCAACATAAACTTGACCCTAAGACTTTTCAAAAGGTCTACTGTTACAAGTTATACAAAGCACTGCCACTTTTATTGATTTTTTTTTCAACATCATTTGATTATTTCCTATGGTATTTATATATTATTTATCTAGTGGAACCAACACCCATCTAGCTTCACTCCCACACCATAGCTAGCATTAGATTAATTGAAGGTGAGAGTCACTGGTGGAGAAATCCTCATTACACTACTCCCACTCAAGTACTTGGAATAGAACTACTATTTCTTTATTGGTTTCAAGAGGGCACATGATATGTTGATGGATGTGGATGAGTCAAGTGTGAGGGTGTACTGTATACCAATGAGATAATATAAGGCATTCCATAAACATTATATAGATCTCTGACAGTATGACCAGTCTGCTGTTTCTTCCTTTGTTTTTCACTGCCTAAATAATCAATAATAAATGGTCCACAGCTGAAATATTTGTTCCTGTTCTTCTCCGAGTTAAGTAATTGTTTAAGGAGAGTGTATCACCATATTCCCTGTATGTATGGAGAAAATGGTAGCAGGAATACCAATGATAAGCTGTATGTGTAAATTAATGTTATTATGCTATATTACATCAGTCTGCTTACTGTTTAATGTGAATAGAGTGGATATTTTCCATATTTTGATTTGATGGTGCCCCCTTGTGGCAAGAAGAAAGACACTCTGATTGGTTAGTACTGTCTTTCAATGCTACAGCAACAAGATTCATGAATCTGAAAATACTGCTCACTTACTCTCATCGGTCAAACAAATAAAAGTAATTAGAAATAAGCATTGCTGTGCAAGTTCTCTCTGTGTCAAATGTTTGTGGATAATGTTTTTACTTACATCATAAACACTGTTCATGTGATGATGAAGACCATGTTTAAATGTTGCCTAAGCATAGGAAAGAACATGTTTAAATGGCATCTTTTCGCACTTGTTTCTTCAAAATTACATGCATTTATGTTCCGGCGTGTGTGTGTGTGTGTGTGTGTGTGTGTGTGTGTGTGTGTGCGTGCGTGTGTGTGTCAGTCAGTGAGGAGTTGCACTGTCTCACTGGGAGAGCTGATAAAGCTAGAATTCCTGCCAGATGGACTACGTTACACTGCAAGTGGGTGTCCCAGTAGAACATCAGGGCATTCCAATTGTCAGTCCCGCCAGTTGTATTCACTTACAAGCACTATAGCATTTTCCTCAAACAGAACCTGTCGCAACAGGTTTGCCCAATTTATTTCAACAGTTTCCACATAAAACTTGTAGACTTGTAGGGTGCAATAACGTACCCCATGTCCATACAGACAAAGGCATTTGAAGTGCTTTTCCCAAAAAGACAAAGGCCACATCTGTTGGTTATGAACAGAGCTTCTTCTAACTATAGCTGCAGCATAACAGGTGCTTCATTAAATAGGGAATACCAGTGCAGGAATAAGGCAGAGACAAGGTATAATATACTCTACTTTCATATCCTATACCTAAGCAAAAAAAGAACTATTATCAGGGGCTTTGGATTAGTGAATTTGCCCACTAATAAGGATATGAACATACTGCGCCTGACCCTCTATGGGCTTTTCTGATGTTAATGTTATTAGCAGTATTTTATTGAACAGCAATACAAGAAACATTGCCCGCCTGTCTGTGTGTGTGAGAGCAACATTGATAGGGCTTTATGGAACACTAAGTTGTTAAAAGGTGTTAAGTAGGGACCATTTATCTTATACTACATAAAATATCTTTTTTGAGAGTTCTTTTAATTTCAAAAGTACAAGTAAATTTGGCATGTTGTAGTACAAAAAGCACGAGTATACACCATAAAGGCTGAATTAAGTTTAGTTACTTTACTTCTAGTATTTTGGTACTGTGCATATTTTATGCCAGATGCCCTTTCTCATGCAATCTCCATCTGGATAATTCATCTGGGCTTGGGACAGGAGCAAGGAGTACACTGACTTGTGCTTCCCAAGCAGCTGCACCATGTGAGGTATAGTTTGAAGACTGTTACACTGACAAAAAGACAGGAGGGCAAGCTGGAGGTGGCACAGCTAAATATGTTAAGATTTTCAATGGGGTTGATTGTGATGGACAGAATTTGAAATGAGTATATCAGAGGGGCAGCTCAGGTGAAGTGGTTTGGAGGAAAAGTTTGAGAGGCAAGGCTGCAATGATTTGGACATGTGCAGAAGAGGGATACTGGATATACTGGACGGAGAAAGGTGGTATGGAAAAGGGTGAAGTGAAGTAAAATTTAAAAAAAAGCAATCAGGATGATTAATAAAGCAGGATTTAGAGACCATACTAACATCATGTTTTTGAAATTAAAAATACTGAAGTTTATGGATCTTATAAAATATAAAACTGCAAAAATTATGTACAAGGCCAGATACAATATGTTACCAGGAAATATACAGAGGATGTTCTATGACAGAGAAGG